TAAGGTGGTACTAGGTACTTCTCTGGATGAACTCTTACATAAGGTGCTCTACTGTTACTAATACATATTTACTTTGTTGCTGGGGAAGATACAGTATATTAATGCCAAATAAATGATAAGTACCAGGAGATCGACTCCGACTACCTATTTACAGCCTTGGCCCGTGAGGTCCCAGTGCCCTTTATCTGTACAAAATTTTATCGAAAAAATTGATAGACTGTCTGGGAAACCCAAGCGCCGGCAGCCACCTTGCCCAACGCATTAGACAAAGGGGAAAGGTTGCCAGCATCTTGGGCATCTTGCCGCGAGGACCCAATTTTATTAATATAATTTAAAATCCTAGTTTTACTTTCTAGTATTCGAGCTTTTGCTTTGTTTTTTACCTTATCTGTGTATTATCAAAATAAACATAATTAATTCCTCTTTAAAAAAAAAAATTATGCTTAAAACTTATTCAAATTCAAAATACTTTTCATTTCAAAGGTAAATAAATTATATTTCAATGAGCCAAAATTGATTAAACATCAGTACTTACTCGTAAGAGGTATTAACCTCTTATAACAATGAGTAAGAAACTCTAGTGATTGTAATTATAAATTTATAAATAGATATATTGATTCACATTTATCATTTACAATAATTACATAAGTAGGTTATTAGTAGAAAGAATTGGAATGTGTTAAATGGCTCATTTCTGTGGATTTTTTTCTTCCAAGTGCGCAGAAGCTGATGTATAATATATTTTTCTCTTAAGTTTTTTTTAACTCTGTAGGGACACATGTTATGACGTAACGTTTGAATGTGCAACCGTCGAGCACCCGGGTGCGCTTCCAGCAACTTTCCTCGCCATAAGTGGTTCCGAGTAAACCTGTGTAAATTGTGTAGGTACTTCCTCTGTACCGTACAGTGGACAATAAAAGTGTGACAACTAAATTATCATAGAGTTTTGGCTTTGATTGGAATCCCAATAGTGAACACGTTAAATTCCGGTGGTTGATAGAACCACTCCTAAAGTTTCTAAAACACTATAATCACGTGGCGACCATGAAAAACCGCGACTATGTGACTTATAATAAGGCTAGAAACTGGACGACAGCGGACTACGGCGCGCAGGTGGCGTCAGCGATGCGGGTGGAGCGGTTTACGCGACTTAATCAAAATGCCTAAGCTGTTCTCGACGGCGGTACAAGAGTGTCCCGCTCCAGTTAAGCGGTGAATGAGCGTTCGTAAACCCATAGTGTTGAAATTTTTGTTTGAGAATACAAACATACTCAATTTTGGATCCAGAATAATTATAACATTTTTATTATTATAATGTTTTTAAAAATTATAACAATTTTGAAATGTAAATTTATGTATGTACCTAGTTAATGAGCAAATTATAATTTATTTTAAGACATAAATGTAATGTAAAAGTAATGTGTGACTGTAATTGCAAAAACAACAATATAAGCAATTAACTTTATTAGCAAACTGTGTTAAAGTTTTTGCTACGCCCTAACAGGGTATCACATGCATGTACCAAATTTAATTGTAAGTTTTATTTGTAACACCATGTGAAGTGCAAAATAAATGAAATGAAATGAAATGAAATGAAATTAAAAAAACTGACCTGAATAGTTTGTGGAATTACATCTATTTGCCAAGATTTATTGTTTTCTGTTACTGGAACCGGAATCATACCCTAGTTTCCCACTGTGTGAGTGGAATATTTTTTTCAAATTTAAATGGGACCAATACCGAGGTACCTTCTTTGTAACAAAAAAAGAATCATCAAAATCGGTTCACAAATGCCGGAGTGATCGTGTAAGACACACACAAAAATGCAGCCGAATTGAGAACCTCCTTTATTCAATGCCTGTTATATTATAGTCAAGTTCAGTAAAAGTGTCGCGGAAGCCCTTTCTCATTCAATTTTGATGTCAATAAAAATGTACGTAAAAGAGCTGTCTGTGTGGGATTCGGAAATATGGAAATAAAATCTATTTTTGCCCTGAAATGCGCAGGAAATGTTAAATTTCGAATTGCATTGCTTTATTATTCAGAATTCACGTGTATCTATAAATACGGCAGTAGAAACAGTTGTACTTTTGGTACACAGCTCTAGATGTCATAGGATGAGTCATCGACACGGCTCAAAAAAATTTTGAAGTTCCAAACGCAGAATTTGAATTAGTTTACTTTAGCTATTTCAACAGTTTTACGTGACATTGAGCTTTTCTGAATTTATGACCTTTAGAAGCATGCTGACATAAATATAAAAACTGTAGATATTTTATTATAGGACTTGATTTTAAAATGTGACTTTTGTTGATAAAACGTATTATATTGAGATTGTTGTAGTAATATTTTTATTGTTCTTTAAAATAACGTATCTAATGGCAGGAGCTTAGCCGGCTACATATATTTATAATCTCAGTACAGAGTACTAAAAAAACCGACCTCAAAAGTACGTGGAATTACGTCTATTTGCTAAGTTTCGTTGAAATATCCCCTAGTTCGCCACTATACAGGACTTGATACTGGAGATAATAAAAATAAATTCTCACTACGACACTACTCAAAGTATATAGAGAGAAAAACGCCTTGAATTGGAGAAATAGCAAAATCAACTAAATAATTGCTAAAAGTAATTGCTCCTAAGTTAAAATTAGGCGCTATTTATAAAAATGAATCTTCATGCGTGAACAGCCACCCTTTGAGGTGGATGATTATCTTCGAAATGAAATGGGACCACTATGGAAATACACCCTTTCCAACAAAAAAAGAATCATGAAAATCGGTTCACAAATACCGGAGTTATCGCGTAACATACATACAAAAAAAAAGACATACAGTCGAATTGAGAACCTCCTTTTTTGAAGTCGGTTAAAAAAAGTAAAAGATTTAGATGTAACAAGGTTAAACTAATTTGTGGTTCTTATCTAGTGGCAGTAGAAATACTGTCATCTTACTTATTTCTACCGCCAAGCAGTAATGTGAGCATTACTGGGTTCTGATTTGGAAGGGTAAGGGTGCTGGTGAATTTACAGGCACATGGGACTTAACTTATGTCACAGGGTGGCGGACGAAGTGGCAGTGCCCCCAAGATCTTTGCGATTTGAAGCTCTGATTGGCACTGCAGCTGTTACAAATAGGCGTGTCGCACACTACCAGGCGTACGACTTGTTTGTCCCGTCACTTGATACAAAAAATATTATATTTGTTTATTTTTCAACCAACAATTGATTTTAAATGATCAGACGCCCGAATGTCTTACCCTTCCGGTTCTCTATTGTAAAGAAAGAAAGGAAGAAGGAAAGAAAGAATGAAAGAAATTTCATATTCATTAAATTTGTGCTCAATTTCATATATACTTTTAAATCTAATACTTAAGACTAAAACTGTTGTTTTAAATTACTCAGTCACTTGTGACTAAGTAATTTTAAGTTAGTAAGTGTGCGTAGTGACGCAAAAGAGGAAAACGATACGACTCGGTAATATGTCTATCTCGGGCGAGATCGACGCTGATTTTCAGTAGTTCCTGTTTCAGCGTTGGATGATCCTAAGGAAATGGTACCTACATACTGTGTGTATCCTCTATTCACGCATTTACAATAGAATATTATTATGTAAAAGCTACAAGAAAATATATGCAAATACGAAATAAGTTACAAGGCAAGAGTTAGGAACATCCGGCATCATCATCTTTCATTAAATTTTTAAATACAGACATTGAGATATTGTGCTTGATAAACTTCTTTTCGTCTCTACTCTTAACGCCTCCATTACCTTCTTTCCGCCCAAGTGGTTGTTGTTGATTGCATTTTAACTATTTGAACTCGATGACATTCAACTTACATTATATAATATTGTCGTGGTTTGCCAGTTTCCTGTTAAATAATAATAAACATATATTTCAGACATAACAAATCCGTAGAATTACACTAATGTTAAATTAGAATTAAATGTTATGCATTAGATATAACTTCTTACATACAATGAATAGGTACTTAATTATTCATAATTGAAATCCAATGTCGCAGTATGGACCAGTCGCAACTACGAGCTAGAGCAGCTATAATGACATTAGTACTATCTAGCACTCTCTGTCTAAGAGAAGCAACCCTCTTTCTATGCACAGCAGCAAACCCGTCCGTACGTGCTAACAAAATCATTTTAGATGCACTACAGTGTCTTGTCAATTTAAACATAGCTCTAAATACATCATTATATTGAACGCGGATGACATTGTACTCTTAACTACACGTATATAGTATCTGTCAGTACGACCTAAAGAGCGTTACTTTAACTTGATATGAATAGAGCTCAAATCTCCTGGCCAACATATTACCACGCATTGCCAATCCTTTCTCGCTCAATACCATCATTATCACTAAGACTTTCAGTAAGTACATGACCAAGATAACGGAATTTATTCACCCTAACCAACCTGCTACCATTCAGACACATATTATATGTATACTTTTTAAAATATACGCATTTAAAAATTAAAAATTTTGCAGACTATAGGAAAATGTTGAAAAGCTTATAGCACTGTACAATTCAACTAAGATATTTTTCTGTTTAGATTATATAAGGGTTCCAATTTGTTGTTAAAGTCTGACAAGATCCTTTCAAACATAAATCTTAGTTTGTTTTTCTTTTTCATTGCTATTGATAACGCCTTTTCAATTTCGTCGTTAGTACACCTTAAAATATACAAACTATCACTTTTTATATTGAAAGTTTAAACGGTATGCAAATGCCGCAAGGTGCAATTTCCATCAGACGTTGCCAGTTTGCTTAGCGCTTTTTCTAGTACCTTGACTCTTCCACTAATTAACATCGGTACAAAAGACTGTTCATTGCAAAATGAACTGATTGCCATCAATATCATTCAGTTCAAGTTGATAAAGTTATGGCTTATTTTAAAGTATATTTATATAATATTTTGTAATACAATTTTGGTATACCGAATCGACTGGTGATTTCAAGCAGCGAAATAAAAATCTTTCATGTTTGCATCCAATATCAGTCAAATAACAACAGACACTTTTAGTTAAACATACAAATTCTTAGAAAACCTGATTTTTCATAAACATTTTCAGTTCATATCTTAGCCATGAAAACACTGTTCCGGTCTGCTGTAAACAAGCTCGAGAATGGAAGTATTTTCAAATAATTCGCGCGCTCTATTTCGATTAACCTCAAAACACAAGAAGCCTCACAAAAGGCCGGATTGCACATAAATATTCCCGGACACCCCGAGCGGTTCAATATTCGGTCGGCAATATTCGGCACTCCAGTGGTGATTATGTTTTCAATTAAACTCGACGCGTCAACCCTAGCGTGCACGTGAAATTGTTTTCCTTTATGAATTTTGTTTTTAGGCAATACGCGACACAACATATTAATACAGCAAGGAGTTGCAAGACCGTTGGCAACAGTAGGTACTATAAAGTATAAATTTAATTTATATCTGTGAAATAAATAAATGTATAATTGTCTTAACGGCATCTCCGTGTTAGACCATACAAAAGAGGTGAAAACATAACTTCACTCATAAAAAGAATAATAAGGACAATATTCTTCAAACAGCTTTTCCCAGTATTCGACCTGTTCTTTGTCTGGAGACGAACTAACTACCAACTCGTTACCAATGTCCAGATATTGTTCTTCCGATGTAGTATAAGGTGGCCAGCGTGCTCCTAAAGAATCGTCTGGTGTTGGGTCCCTGAAAGGTGAAAAAATCCACATTTAATACATACGTGTACGTACGATCAACACTAATGATCGATATCGTATTGTCTTCATCCAAATACAAAGATTTCTAGACTACAGATTAAGAAGAGACTGGAAAACGGTGGTCTGAATGAATTTGGTTAAATTTTTAGTACCAGTTATTTTGTGAACTCACCCGAATTTGGCGAAATTGGTCCAAAGTTTCACGACATTGTTAATTAGTTTGTAAGTTTTTGAATTCTGGTCAACTTTTATTGGCAACATTTTCATGTTGAATATATAGGGCAAATCGTCCCCGTGGCACACTACGGGTTTTGCGCCTAAAATCTTTTCGAAGCCGAAAATATGTCCCATTAAATTCAACTCAGAAGTGCAAGTAAATTTATAAAACAATGCTTTGTTCTTCTTACATATCATTTTTGAAAATTGTACTATCTGATAGTTAAACATATTCATTCCGATGAACTTGACTAATTGTTCCAAGTTTTCCATAGAAACTTTATTTTTGCCAAAGTAAAAGTTTTTCATCATCCTTCCTACTTCTAGAACTTCACGTAAAGGACAATTAATTACAATTTCTTTAGGGACAAGAAAATCATTGTAATAATTTGCCTGTTCAAGCATCTTTTGTATATCGACACCATACAACCCCATGAGTCCTTCGTGTTCACAGTAGCCCGCTATAACTTGTACTCCCTCATGAATTCCGTTTCGTAGAGCATCATTGACATCTCCGTAGAAAAATCTTTCGTTGTCACCGAATTCCTTTTCATCGACAATATTTAACTGCGGTTCATTTGACTCCTTTGCTTTTTCAGAGAGTGTTATGTGCGCTTTAAGTTGGACAAGATTCTCTTTAGGTTGAGATTTGAAAAACATCGTAAGTTCGTCGATGTCCTGGGAATGGAATCCTAATTTCCGCGCGAAAGCTATAGCTCTTTCACGAGGTTCAAAACTTTGCGCCCAAAAGCAAGTGGCAGAACCACTTTGAGCAATAGCTCTTTTAAATAATCCTTTACTCATAGGCGATATCAAATGGAATACAACACTAGCTGCTCCAGCGCTTTCTCCAAAAATGGTGATGTTATCGGGATCACCTCCAAAATTGCTAATATTTTTCTTGATCCACCTGAGCGCAGCAACTTGATCTTTCATGCCCGCGTTACCGGGTATCTCCTCAGTGTCAAGGCAAAGAAAGCCTAGAATGTCGACTCTATAATTGATAGTAACAAGCACCACATTTTCTTTGACAAGAAACTCAGGTCCATATATATTATCATTGCCACTGCCGCACATAAACCCTCCTCCATGTATGAAAACCATTATTGGAAGTGATGACGATGGTTTTATATCTGGTGTGTATACATTAAGATATAGGCAATCTTCGCTCCCCTCTGGCTTTGAACCAGGTATTATCATATCTACTTGATAAGATATTGGTCCGTGTTCCTTGGCACTGCGTACCCCAGACCATGGTTTCAGTGGTTGCGGAGCCTGAAAATATTTATTTAATTTATTGATTAGTTTTTATGCAGAGGTATTAACTGATGCCAATTATGAATTTGTAATTTAAGAAAACAGGGGTAAATTCATGTAAGCTGTTGTTTCTTTACTATTTTGCAATGATGAATGATTTCTGTAAGTACGGTTAAATTACTATAATATAGGTATTAATTTTAAAGAGCAACCCCTAGGGTTTCTTGATCATTCTTCTCAGGGGAATCTGCCTTACAAAAGAGCGCAAAGTGACGATTTCAAGTGTAATTTTCTTCTTACCTATGAAATAAAGATGCTTTAGACTTTTTTATTTTGATATTTTTTTATTCTAGTTCAGTGTACTTATTAGATACGACGTCACGGTAGGAACATAAGGACATATTCGTTTTCATGCTCCTACCAGTAGGAGCACCCAGTTGGAGCATAAGGAAACGGTTCTTCCATCTAAAGGGCAGTGTTAACATGTGTGCAATTTTATTGCTTTTTTTGAAAAAAATAACAAATGATCTTTTCCTTAGTTGACATTGCAATAAAAAAATAAGGTTATTACTTGGGGTTTGACCAATTTTTATCATGTTAATAAGTCAAACTCCGCCAGTACTACCGCTTTCTGCTTTTTGCGGAAGAAATTTTGTTCCTCTAAAACTCTTTGCTACAAAGACTTACATAGATATCGTTGGCCTTTAAGCTTTAGGAGCTTTAAGTTCGCGTCATCAAAGCTTGCAGTTACCAGAAAGCTAGCAGCTGCTTCCACCGGCAATGAGTTATTCAAAGGGGAAACTTTGCCAGCCACCTGGGCATGAGGCCCAAGGGTTCTCCATTCCCCGTTTAAGAGTGAAAACAACGATGTGAAAAGTAGAAAATTTATATTTCAAATCTTTGTTAAGCATGTGTATATTATTTTCTCTACGTAATGCTAAATTAATTAATTAATTCTTGTATAAAATATGATTGAAGATAAATATTAGCAAAATCAAAAATATTTCATTGTCACGCAATATAATGAAAGAAGGAAGAAAATGTACATTAATGATAAACAAAACATGGCAAATGTGTCTATGACTCGGCTACAGAATACTATATTTTTTTATTTATTTATTTATTTATTTATGTGATACTGAATAAAATGCTAACAGTTTCAATCCTCGAAGGCACATAATATTATGTATGATACTTTGACAGATCGATCCCTTCTACGTAAATAATCGTAAATCCAAATTTTCAACTTTACAGAAGAATGTTTTTTCATTGAAAGGACTGAAGTGAGCCTAATATGTGCAATTCTCGACGTTATTGCAATTAAATTAAATTAAATCTGATGCATAGTCATTATTTTTCATGCCTTATAGTTTTACTGCTGCGTATATTAAACCTGCATAAAAATAAAATTCGACATAAAACATTTTGAAGTATTGCTCCAAGTTTAAAAAAGCTTTTAAATAAGTAAAAGTCCTCAAATTGTGTCGAAACCTAGTTTAAATTGTCTATTTCTGTACCTAGTATATTTGTGTGAAAATGTTATATCATATAGGATCTCAAGAAAAAGGAAAATACTTTAGAAACAGCAAGTTTACTAGTTTTAAGCTCAATCCGCTTTATAAAGAAATCAGACGATATTTACATCAATGATTGGTGCATTGATTAACTATATTGTAAACAATAGAATAAACAACACAGTAAAATGAGAATTAAATATCATAAACAAAAGTGATCGTTAATGTACATCAGCTCTGCGATTGAGGGTGTATTTAATCTTTTTAAAAGATCTCTTTTTTTAAAATCTATTCAAATAAGAAATCTTTTTAAAAATTAGTCAGGCGCTCGATCCTTGTTACAAAAACCAGACATTTGCATGCTTCAAAAAACTAGACATTATAAGCATTGACTTACAATTATATGGACGTCGGGTCCGCGCTGAAAAGTGTCCGCACTTGTAAGGCGCTAAAATCGTATACAGAGCGCCAAACTCCTCTTTAGTCTTCATTTGTTCTACTGACAGCGCGATACTGCGATGACATTACAATTTAAATTTCGAATAGGTTGACTTGGGACATTTTTTTCGTGGTTTTTGTATTAGACCCTCCGTCCATTTATTTGTAAGTCAATGATTATAAGCGAAACATGTTTGTACTGGCATCGCCTCTTATCGTTACATCTTCTGTTACCATGTTTTAAGCAAAAAAACTAATTATTATTGTTATTACATAGCCTTCGCTGACATTGTCATAGTCAGTGTGAAGAACACATTGCCAATTAACAAGCGGATATACTGAGGTAAATATGACGTAATATGCAATAATACATAACTGCCTCCGTGGCCGAATGGTTACCATGCCGGGCCGGGAGAAATGTTTGTATGGCCTACATTTATTTATCTCGTGAGTTTGGGTGTAATTTGTGGTTGTCTATGTGTGTGTCCATGGCACCCGCGACACAGGGTTTCCCTAGTGCGGGGCTATGTTGAGTGTGTGCGTTGTTTATTTATTTAATGTAACTTTTTTATGAGAACAAACCGAACTCAAAAGTTTGTGGAATTACATCTATTTGCCAAGTTTTATTGAAATCGGTTACCGGAAAGTGCGCGAAAACGGATTCATCCCCTAGTTTGCCACCCTTAGAGGTGGAATATTTTCTTCAAATTTAAATAAGACCAATACTGAAGTAACCTTTTTCCAACAAAAAAAAAGAATTATTAAAATCCGTTCACAAATCGCGTAACATACATACAAAAAAAATACAAACGAATTGAGAACCTCCTCCTTTTTTTGAAATCGGTTAACAAAATCTAAAATATTTATTACTTTATTTATAAAAGATTTATTTATTACTTATA